TCTGTTAGCTTGTTTAAACGTTTTTATTTTTATGTCTTTACTAGCACTTATTAGTTATGCTTGATAATAGGTTTCATTATGTCACTTAGATATTTTTACATAAGGGCTTGATATGAGCTGGTACATTTGTTGTTTGTTATTTTGGAACAAAACTCTAATAGCAAACTAAAAAGTGGAGCAGAGAAGGAAAAACTTGGCACAAGGGAAGATCAAGGAGGGAGTTGCTACAATCCTTCCAAGGGAGAACAATGAGTTAAGGGAGATGATGGAGAGAGTCCAGGAACATTTCAATGTAGTATTTGCAGGCTTTGACAGCTTGCTGAATGTGAGAAGCAAAGGCAGAAACCAGGTACGACCCTGGGCTTGCTACATGGTATGGTAGAGTCATTAACTGGGGGTGATGATGTTAGAGAAGAACGTCCAGGATGTAGGAAAAAAATCAATATATATTTGGGTACGGGCTCTGGAACACCAGCATAGAAAAGACCTCCAGTTAGGGAGCAAACCAGGATCAGAAGACATTTGATTATTTGATATCTAACTTATTATAGAGATATAATCTATATACTACTCTTTGAATAGAAAATATCTCCCAGAGACTGTTGATCACACAAATGGTACTATATATTAAAAATATTTCTTTCCCAAGACAATTGTTTGAGAAGTCTATCATGGGGCTAGAGAGATGGCTCAGTAGATAAAAGCACTTACTGTTCTTGGAGAGGACTCAGGTTCACTTCTCAGCACACACATGGTGGCTCATAACCTAACTCTCTGTATCTTCACTCCTGGGGCATCTGGCACTCTCCTAACATCTGTATTGGGTACACACATGGTGCACACACATACATGCAGGCAAAACAGTAATAAACTGGAAAGTAGCATATCTCATTATTAATAATGTAGCAAAGTCATTCTTAATATCCCTGTCTCTAAAATAGAAAAAAATAAACAGAAAATATCTTGGATTTTTCTAATTATTCTCCATATGGATACACACTATAGTTTTACAGACACAAAGAGACTGAGCAGTCACCCCCACACCTCCACACATAGAAAAGTAAATAAATTGACCACAGCCACCTAATGGCATGGCTGCCTTTAAGTTCCCCCTTTCCACGTGAATTCTATTCTTCCTGTTTCAAAGGGCAGCACATTGGCTCCATTTATATAAGGTTAATTTTGTACTTTGAAGCTCAAATCCCTTAGTCTCCTCAGTAGCCTCATGAAAGAGACATCCCCTAGTCTCTTCATGGAGAGGTCTTTTTCTTCCCTGTTCATTGTCTGTCTCAGACAGTACTGAATATATTTAATCATCTACTTTGAGGTGTAGAGCTTTGGCCCCATAGCCCCATCCAGCCTAACTGTTCATCTCTGTCTTTTTTTTTTTTTTTGTCCTTCTTTAAAATTTAAATTAAAAACAAGCTTGTTTTACATATCAATCCCAGTTCCCCCTCCCTCCCCTCCCTCCCCTCCTCCCCTGCCCCCCATCAACCCCTTATCCCATCCCCTTTCTGCTCCCCAGAGAGGGTGAGGCCTTCCATGGGGTCTTCAAAGTCTGTCATATCATTTGGAGCAGAGCCTAGGTCCTCCCCCATGTGTCTAGGCTGAGGTCTATATGGAATGGGCTCCCACTACCAGATGCCCCATAGACTGCCCAGGCTTCATAACTGAGACCCACATTCAAGGGGTCTCAATCAGTCCTATGCTGGTTTCCCAGCTGTCAGTCTGGGGACCATGAACTCCCCCTCATTCAGGATAGCAGTTTCTGTGGTTTTCTTCAGCCTGGTCTTGACCCCTTTGCTCATCATTCCTCCCTCTCTGCAACTGGATTCCGGGAGTTTGACTCAGTGTGTAGCTGTGGGTGTCTGCTTCTGCTTCCATCAGCTACTGGATGAAGGCTCTAGGATGGCATATAAGGCAGTCATCAATCTCATTATCAGGGAAGGGCATTTAAGGTAGCCTCTCCATTATTGTTCAAATTGTTACTTGGGGTAGGAGAACAAGAAAAGATAGGTTTAAGAGAATTCTGGCACAGGAAAATGTCCAGAGATCATCTCTGTCCTTTTTTGTAACAAATTCCTTTAAAGGCTGTATCACTGCTTCTATTTCCACATCTGTCTCATCTGCCCCCTAATACAGTCAGATTGTATAGGCCTCCTTTTTGTCTCAATAAATCCATCAATGGCCCATGGCATTAATAAAGAACATGGATACTGTACAGTGGTTGTTTTACTACTTCCCAGCCACAGTAGTTTTGAGAGGAATGCCTTCCTCTTCTACTTGGAACTTTTTAAGTTGGCTTCTGAAACAACACATTTTTTCTTGATTTGTAGCCTTTGTGGTACCCAGTTTCCTACAAAATTGACAGTTTTCTCCTAGGTCTTATGTGTTAATTTCCCCTGAATATTCTTTGCTTTACCCCTTTATTTCTAATTCAACACACTTCCAAGGTCATCTCCCGTTTCCCATTCCTTCAGTCATTCTCTGTGCACCAATTTCTCCACATCCATAGCTCAGATCTCAGCCCAGGATGCTTTCCTAAGTTACAGGTCAGCATGCCCCTCTGTCTGCTGACCCTTAGGAAGACACCGCTGGCAACATGGATATGCTCCTCCTTTCCCAAAGCTGGGCCTGTGCTGATGTAATTGTTCAGAGAACAACCCACATGTATGCCACCCGACATGTGCTCAGTGACTAACTGCCAACTGAGAAGGGCGGCAGTATAGGCACAGGAAAGACCACCACTCAGATTTCCTCATGCTACAGAAACAGGAGAGTGATGCATAAACCACATGACATCATAAAATATGCCTGACTAATCACCATTTTTTAAATGAACAGGATTATATAAAACAGCCTGCATTTACACCAGAAGAATTGTTTACGTAAATATAAAAGTGAACCAATCATGTTTGGCATCTCAGGTGAAAATGTCTGGAGTGTCAGTACCACACTCAAGAAAGCTGGCTAGCTCACTGCTTGCTGCTTTGCTTTGGTAAATGGTCTATGTTTCTGCTCTGCACCAGGCTCAAAAGCACTATTTGCTCCATCCCCCTCTTTTGAGGAGGTGTAACAGCTTTTTACTGCTCAAGTTTCTCAAAGCCCTGGTGTTCCTTGAAAATTTTTCCTTCCCACACCCACCTGTATAAAGACTCCAGTATACAATCTGCTTCAAAAAATCCAAGAGACCATGTTGTGGACTGCCAGTTCAGCCCCCAACTCAGGATGAGATCCCCCCTCCTTCATCCCCTACTCAACCACAGGTCACACCAACCAGAAGGTCAAATGGGAAACAGAAACCAAGGAACAAAACACCCATCCAACAAAGACAAACCCAAGAAAGCCTGCAGTGGGTCTTTCCATTAGAGCTCATGCCTTCATTTCGCCTGGTTTGTGACAAGTAAATAAACAAAGCATGCTGAATGGAGAGTGAGAAGTTCCTTAATGCTTCATGCCAATTGTGTCACATCTAGAGAATGACAAATGATTCTACATATTGATAACAAAGACATGCCAAAAAAAAAAAAAAAAAAAGACAAGTTGCTATAAAATCAATGACTATAACAGCTAATACAAAATCTAGTAAATGCTGGGCATTTTGTAAGTACTTTATGCACATAATTTCATATATAAGATTATTACAATTACTATTCCCATTCTGCAGATTATGAAAGTGAGGCACCAATAGGTGTATAACCAACCCAAGTAAGTAGTAAGTAATAGAGTCACATTTAAAAGCAGATTTCTATACGTCATGCTCATAGGAATCAACCATATCAATAGCCTATCAAAAATAAGGAACATATTGCCTGGGGAATGGGATGGGAGGATATTCAGAAGAAAGCATATGAGCAGGTCAACACTGAATAAGTAGGTAGGAATGATAGGAGGCAGGTGCTGGCTAGAGTCAAGTGATTTTAATTCTTTGACTTGTTTCACTAGGGAACAACCAGGCTCATAGAGTTTGCTGTCAGTAGAGGACAGAGGTCCATCTATAAATAATACCAAAGTTAGTCCCACCCTGGGAAAAAGGTGAACATAGTGATCCTCTACAGTCTCTTTGTTCACTGAGATCTGTGGTTCTAAAAATAATACATGGTCCTCATCTCTAACAGCTTGTAACTTTCTATAGAGAATAAGGCAAACACAGCAGAACTCAGGAAAGGTAGGCATTAAAAAAAATCTATCAAAGTAATAAAAAGGAGTGGGTCCTCACACTCCCCCTAAAGATAAATAGCTCTACCTACTTCCTTATCGAGCAACTTTAAAGATGGAAACCACACCACACATGATGACATAAACTAAGAAATGCCAAATAACACAGTAAGCGTTAAGACGTCTTCATGCACCTGTTTTTTCATATCAATGATAGTGTCAGAGAATTTGAGTTGTCTGACTGTGAAATTATTTCTCCTCCTCTACCAGAAGGACAGGTTCTCATTAAAGCCAAGATTAAAGAGGTGGATCAAAGTGACCCCTGGCCCTCAAAGCCAGGAATTAGCCACGCCGTGGTTGTGGGCACTGCAGATGTGATCTATCAGATGTGGGTGAAGCGAATCCTTTTGCAAAGCATGACAGCGTCCTCAAACCCGACTGTGGTGAATCCAAACCAGATTTTTATGCTATATGACCAGCTTCCAAAATTCAAAGGCACTTTGCTATCACGTTCAGCTTACATTTTACAAGCTTTATATCTGCAATCAGAGGTTCAGAAGCCTGTGGCGCAATTTGCATGATGGGCCTGAACTCCCTTGGTGCTCAACTGGTATAATAAAGTATCAGATAACAATGATATGGACATACATGAGGTCAGCGTTTCTCTGAAACAAAATGCTGAGGACAACAATGGACTTCCCCACACCCTTAAAATGAACCTTGTACCACACACCCTGAAAGCTTTCACAATATGCCATGGGACCATCCTCAGAGATCACAGCTCTTTACTTAAGTGTCATCAGTCCCGACGCAGTCAGTCCTCTGACATGGTGCTACAGCTCCACACGCCCACTTCTTACCTTTTTGTAGTCCGATGAGGACTTCTCACCAGCCAGTGTGCTAAAAATGGTGCCCTGCAAAATAAGGAGGACATGGACACATTAGAGCTCCTCAGAGTGCAGGCATCACCATCACCTGTCTTTTGCTTCAGGTCTAAATGCGCTTGACATCCCATTGCCTCCAATTTTCCTGCATTAAAATGTGTCTGTCTCTCAGCATTCCCAAGACCACCATCCCCAGGTTAGACCGTTTGCTTCAGGCACATGAGGAAATGGCTGTCACCTTCATTTCACAGACAAGAGTCAAATGATAACATCTTTCAAATGGCTCATAGGGCTTTTTCCTAAGAGACAGTGGGGCTCGGGGTCTCCCTCTCACTTCCTTTAACACACATGTTCTCCCTGTGGCTGACTTCTCGCCTAGACCTGTTTGTATGTATTATTTTCCTGGCATTATGTGCCACTTTCTAGCATCCAATCCTGCATGGGGATTTACACACACAGGTTGTTCCCCTTGAACTATCCCACAAACATAACCATAGCCATTGCTAGCCACAAAAATGGCTCAAGGTTATAGTCAAGGTATAAGCACAAAACAAATGCACATTTCTAACCACTAAATCTCCATTTTGAACTAACCTCCAATTCTTCTGAGGAAGCCAATAGTGAAAAGAAAGGGCCTTATGAATATGCATAGGAGAGATCCAAGATTGTAACAGAAGAGCAGCCATGAGTCTTCCCCCACAGCACCTTCTGGAGGTCTCTGTGGGAAGGCAGACTCCCACATAATATCACTATAAAGTGAAGGTCAGGGAGAGGGAGGTGGGCGAACGACTCTTACATGATGGTAAAACATCTTTATTTAGCATGTAGGCCCTGACTTCTGTCTACTTTTGTGACTAAGCCAGGATTTTTTACATCAGGTCTCTGAACATCCAGGAGCAGATAATTCTTGTTTCAGAGAGAAAATGGCCATGTTACCCATCACAGGATACCATGCAGCACTTTTGAATTCTATCTACCTGGGGCCAATACCATCTCTCTGGCAGCTTCAATTATAACACAAACCTATCTTGAAACATTACTAAATATTTCTTGCGGACAATATTGTCCCCAGCTGGAAGCAGCTTGTTAAACCTCTAGCAGGGCTTGTAGAAATGATCCTGAATTCCCTTTGTGCAACTAAATTTTCTCAGGAAACAAGTCTGGTGGCAGAATTTCTCTGCCCACCACTGAATTCATGTGTCATTCTCTATTCTAACTAGGAGTCAGAATCCAGGGAAGGTATATATTTTAGCTACCCAAAACTCTGCCTGGGGGAGTCTCACAGATCACATGCTTCTTTAACTAAGTTTAGGATATACCAGCAGGTCTGGCCAGATAGCTCTGTGGGCAAAGGTACATGTTGTACCAACCTAACAAGCTGAGGCGTGAAATTCCCAGATCCCATAGCAGAAGGACAGAACTGACTTCTGAGAGTTGTCCTCTGACCTCTACACATGAGCTGTGGCAGGCTCACACCCATCATACATACCCTCTCCTCTCTCTCTCTCTCTCTCTCTCTCTCTCTCTCTCTCTCTCTCTCTCACACACACACACACACACACACTCTCACACACACACACACACACACACACACACACAAGATTCGAAGGATGGTAACCTCCTCACACCATGACCTTCTTGATTAATATATCAATATTTCTCTATGAAAGGAGAAACTCCTAATGAGTCACCTCCACCAAAGTTTGCATGGTGCTGTGTGCGGCACATTACACAAGCACAGCAAAGCACAGGGCTTTCAAAAACCTGGCCTCAGACCTTATTAGTAAGACGACCTGTGTGAGGTGGGCAGCATCATACATCAACAATTAAGGCAATTTCCCCAAATGCACTTAGGAAGTAAATCCCTACTCTTGGATGTTTGTATGCTGATGCCTGAAATTCCTCTTACAGAATTTCAGCATTAGGCTTTGACTCATTACAGGCAACTCATGGGGGGGGGTGCTTATACAGGGGTCACTACAAGAAAGGACACTGGAAAGGCCATGCTTGTACTTCATTAGTCTCTTATATCTTAAATGAAATATATTTATCAGATCCACACCCAAAAGCAGATTTTTTTTTTGGTACTCTCTAAAAAATAACTCAAAACATATTTGGTGAAAAGTAGAGAGAGTTGGGTCATGAGGGCATTGGACATTGGTGGTGAAGGGAAAAGATCTGAAGACATGGGTCACAGGTTAATCTCCCTACCACGAGCTGTGACATGGTAATGACATGCAAGAGGTATTCTTGGTGTGTGTAGAAGGGGAAGGTCATAGGGTGGAGCAGAGGATGGCAGGGAGCTGCTGTGCAGGCTCAACAAAGGTCTCATCCAACCACACAGGAAGCTCTAAAAACAGCCGATACTCAGGGAGGACATGGACACATGAAGCACTGTCCTAGAAAGGGTACATGTTTTGCTGGACCACATGACTCTTTCCATCCCTGAGCTGAGAGTACCTAACTGGCAGTATCAGGGAGGTCATATGGAACAGGGCAGAGCCTACTACATTATGCTCTGTTTTAACATGCTTTATCTAGGACAGACCTTGCTTGTAACCTATTCAGTATAGTTCAGCATAACCTCTTATAAATTAATGTTTGCTGGTCTTTGGTGATGTCTTGGGGAGAAAAACAAGTGGGCCATCCCCACTCAGGAGCCTCCGCCCTAACCCTTCTAAGAGATCATTTAGCAGCTTAAAACAGATCCTTGATCTTGGGGCCTTCAATTTACCACTCTGAAACAAGAAAGCCTATATCCTTTTTCCTTTAGGGTCATGAGATCCTTTGCTAATATGAAGAAAAAGGACTGAGTTTATTGGGTACACTGTTTGCAAATCCATAATTATGACAGATAGCTACTTCTTTCTTCCATTCACTAACACAAGAACACTTCACAGAATGGCATGGTCAGCTCCTTGTCATCTTCTTAGGCACACAGAATCCTTATAGGTGTTATTTTATTAGTCAGTTCTCCAGAGAAGAACCACCAATAGGCCACATTAAAACCTAGAGGGGAGACTGTGCAGTTTGACTCCTTCCACTAGGAAGGGTGAGAAGGGCCGCAAGATGTCATCTTCAGGCTAGAAAGCCAACCAACCAGGGAAGCCAAAGGTGTAACTCAACAGAAGGGAAAGGCTGATAACTATGGAGCCCATGGTTTAACTACTACTCTGAGGTCAACGGCTACAACCCCTAAGAACCTTGGGAAGTAGAAAGGGTCTTAGTATAAATTTTAGACTCAAAAGAACCAAGAACCAGGGGCTTCTATGCCTTAAAAGAGAAAAATATGGATGGCTTAGCTGAAAGAGGGAGAGGAACAGAAGAAGAATGGGGGGAAAGAGATAGAGAGAGAGAGAGACAGAGAGAGAGAGAGAGAGAGAGAGAGAGTAGGCTTTCTTCCTCACCTTTTTGTTCTATTCAAGCCCTTGGTGAATTACATAGTGCTGGTTACACAGGTGAAGAGAAATGCTCTTAGTCTTCTGATTTGCATACTAATCCTTGCAAATAATTTCCCAAAATGATGCTCTGTCACTTGTCAGGGCATCCACTCACCCAGTCAAGTTAACTAACAATGTTAACCATCACAGGTAGACCACAAAGGGGACAATTATAGAACAGCTTTTTGTTTGGCTCTGAAACGCATTAGCATGGGAATTAAAGACTAGAGTGTACAGTCTTATATCCCAAGTTAGTATTTATAATCATCTGTAGAAATAACTATGAAGGCAGAAGTCATAGAGACCCAGAAGAAATGGTAAATTTAAAAAGAATGAGTCTAGCTAGTTCTTGATTAAAGACCACTGATGGAATGCAAATCATTAGTGGGCATCCAGTTCAGCATGAACAAAGAGAGCCAAGGAAGGTGAGCTGCTTACCCATTCTCACTACTGGGAATGTTCTGCAGTGGCTGAACACCTACAGGAGGCACATGGCTCCTATTTCCCTTTAAGTGATGGTTTAATCTGAGAATTATCACAATGTTGTTTATCTCCATTAAATTAGGTTTGGAAAAAGAAACTGGAAAACTGTCTTCTGCCACCACTGAACTATTTCTGCCATCCAATGTCCATATATATATATATATATATATATATATATATATATATATATTTAAAACAAAGCAAACATCTTAATACTTACTTGATTAAATGGGAACAGCTCGAGAATTGGGTTATAAAAATTAAAGTATTCAGAGCCAAGATTGCTGAAACGGCAGCATTGAGACTCCCATTCCCACCCTGTGGATGTGTGTCTGTGAGCATGTGTAGTTTTCACTCTTAGCTAGATAACACCAGAGAGGTTATCTAATACAATCAAAAGCTAAGGTCCTTTTAAGGGAATGACACCTGAATGAAAAACATCCATCTGCCTCTAATCTGCTCTGAAAAGGCACAGTGGGTGATTTCTCACTTGGTGGATGTCAGACTGAGCCCACTCCTCTCACTATTTGAAGTCTCTTACATATAAACAGATGGGTCTCCAGCGTACATACTATTTGGATGCTTTCTTAGTAAACTAATCCTTGTGCCTCTGCACGAAATACACATTTCCATTCTGTTTTCATGCTCTAGACTAACATTGATACATATATGCTTTAAAAAATGGCAGACCCTTCAGGCAAAGTTCAGCATTCACATTTATTTTTTAACTGCATAATTATAAACATCAACGAAAGGGAAAAATATACTTCCAAATAAATGATAAAATTACAGTGTTCTCTTGTAGTCCATGAATACTGAAAATTTCAATTAGCCAAGTGAAAAGCCATTGAATATGCCAGCAGGATTTATATACCAGACTAATGACCGTCATCTGCATCCTATTTAGCTAATGAAGGCTTGGAACACTTGTGGATAATTAAGGGAAAGCTGATGGGAGGAAATTCGAACCATGGAAAGATCAAATCTATTTATGTCTGCATTTAAAACTAAACACACTTAATAGGTCATTCAATCAAAGCATAATGTCCACTCATCTGGGATAAGATAGATGCATATAAGTTATGTAGCCAGCATCATCCCCAAATC